AAACTTCTCCTTCTGTTTTCTATATACTCTCTATCAACATTTTTCTCTTTTTTTCTTTTCCTATGAATTTGATCAACAATCCAGAAGCTAAAATTTGAGCACAAGCAATAAAATTAGTGTCATTGTGAGGAGGAGAAGAAGAAGAAGAGCTCTATATCTGGAGAAGCAAAGAAGGCAATTGGAGAAGGTCTCTGTAAATTAGAACAATTGGAGAAAATCCTCTGTTTTTTTGGAGCTGGAGGGCAGATTTTGATCTCTGGGATTCTGAATCTCTCTGCTTTTGGAGTGCAGCACTCTTCCAAATCACTGCTCATGCTCTCATTTTCCGCCATGGCTGCTGAGCTTGAAGCTAATTCGACTGCGGTTTCGGTTTCGGTTTCCTGATTCTTTGGAGGAGGAGAAGGAGGAGGAGGATTTCTCTTCTTCATCCTCTGTGGGCTCTTCTTCTTGATCTTCTTGCTCATCTTCATCTTTGTTCTTGCTATTCCTCCTTTGGAAGCCATGGATTGGTGGAAAAGAAAGGATTTTGGATGGAATTTGTTCAGATACAGAGAGTTTTGGAGAGACCCATTTCAGAAAATTGGGTTTTGAGAGATGGGTTCAGTTGGGAAACGCCATTGGAGGGTGGGTTGAAGCTCTGAAGAAGGAGGAGGAGAAGGGCTGAAAGAGGGAAGGGTTTGGAATTTGGAATTTGGATTTCTATTATAGTGAAGGAGGGAAAACAAGGCACATGTCTACTTTATGTCATATTTTGAAATGTGTTATCATAGTCTTTTACTAATGTTTTTTTTTTTTTCTCCAATGAGGGGATAGTAATTGTCTTTCTTTTTTAAAAAAGGAAAAAATTGTTATCATAGTTCTAATTTTTTAAAAAAATAAATATGGGTAAAAGAGTGGCTTTTATGTAAAAAAGAAAAAGAAAAATTATACATTTTTATATTGTCCTTGTGTTAAGGTTAAGTTTGCCATATTTACCTTCGTGTCAAGGGTAAATTTGTCATATTCACTGATTAGCCAGTCTAAGTACTATCTATTTATAATTAAAAGATTATAACTTCGAATCTCCACTCTGGATATTGTACTCAATATCAGAAAATTATTTTTTCCTCTAATGTTCTAATAGGCTAACTCATAGTGGTTAAGTATTTCTCGTGGTCCAACTCTATTATTAGAATTGTGTCAGTTTATATTTATGAACTTTAGAAAATGAACTTTAGAAAGTTTTAATATCATCCTGAACTTTTAATTTGTTTTATGTATAATAAATTATTATTTTTTTTGTTCAAATTAATATTTACCTAACATGTTTATTGTTTTCTTAATACAACAAATGTGGGGTGAATTATTTAAATCTCCGACCTCAAGAGAACTAGTAGATCTTATTTACTACTAGACATATTCATGTTGGACATGTTTATTGTATTAATCAAAACTTACATARTACGCGACAACCAAATCGCTAACTAATTTTAAGCATGCAAATTTAAACTTCAATTCTTTAAACGTCTAACTCAACCTAAACTAAAGTCTTTTTAGAAAAGTAAAAGARGAAAAAAAGAAARAATAGCAACACGTGAAACAGAAATTGTAACCATGATTTTAAAATATTATAATACAAGTTGTTTTTTTTATATAAATAATAATACAAGTTAATTAATAGCTATTAGAATCCTTTGCAAAAAAAAATTAGTTATTAGAATCATCTCTATCAATATCAAAGTAAATGAATGATTACTATATGAAGGTGAATTGATTAATATTATAAAGTYAATAGGTGATTAATAGGATTTCTAAAAATGATATAGTATTATTTGTAAGTATTTTTATAAAAATATTATTAATTTACAAATATTTAAAAAGAACAAAAGAAAACAAAAATGTAAAGGTATCCAATGAAAATTTATTAAATATATAATATAAGGCACTGTGGGCGGTTTGGCAGGTAGCCATTATCCACAAACATACACAAATAAAGCAATTTGATGGTTAAAATAATTAATGCTCCTTAACATTAATACCAATCTCTAAAAAAATGTGAAGTTTATTATTAAATTAAAATTCCTAATTAAGGCCTATTATTCTAACATCATTATTTTAATCCCCAGGAGCCTTCATTTTCATAGGTAGATTCATGTATTTATTTTAATTTCTTTTTCTACTCTATAATCAATTTGTTAACTTAATAGTTTGATTATCATTTTAGTCCCTATATTCTATTTTAATCTTTGAACATTTTAGGAGTTTATTTTAGATCTTAAGTATTTTGGTCTTCTGTCGTTATTTTTGTAGTAAATTAATAAATGGATAGCAAGATGATCTTAAAGATGTATATTAATGTGCTGATATAGATATCTATGGAAGCTACATACATTTGAAGTACTAAATAGATGGATATTAGGTAATATAATGATAGTAATAATCAAAATAGTTATTTTTTGAAAGTTCAACGATTAAAACAGACATTTTGAAAGTTTAAGAACCAAAATGTAATAAATCTAAAAGTTTAGCCTCCGTTTGATAATGATTTTGTTTTTTTATTTTACTTTTAAGAGTTATGTTTTGCTTTCTCAAAAGTTTTTTGGTACGTCTATCAGTTTTTTTAAACACACAAGCAAGCCTTAGAAAACTACTTTTTTATTTATATTTTGAAAATGTTTTTAAGCCTTAATTTTAAAAAACAGAGAACGATTTAGGGAGTAAAATGAAATTTACAGTTAATTTAATTCAATTTATAAATTTTATTACTATTGGTCAACGCAAAATCGTATTAATTTAATTTAATTTATAAATTAAATTAAATTATAAATTACTATTGTTGTTATTGGGTTGGGCTGAAATACTCAAAATTCATTTGAAGATGGGCCACCTAAAGACATCTAGTTGTAGGACCTCCTCGGTTGTATGATACTACAAAATTGTAATTGATTTTAGATTTTTTGTTTTTGTTTTTTTTTTTGGTATGAAATATACTACTAAATCGATTATTAGTAATTGATTTAAAGTAATTGACTAATATATTCACAAAGATTATCCTTTTTTTTATATTTTATAAATTAAGGTACCAAATGAATCTAAGATGTTATTAATGGTTATACCAAATTATTCAAACCACTCAACGTAATTAATTTATACAACTAAGGTGTGTTTTGGAGAGAGTATTTTTTTTTTGTTTTTTTAATAAGTACTCCATTCAAAGAAGTACGTAAAAGGCAACTACACTAGAGATGATGAAAATCATGAAATATTAGACTCCACATTTTAAACAAGCTAGATTAGAGGGACAAGGCGTCTTGAAAGACTTCCTAGTAAGAAGATGAGCAATCTCACTTGATTATCTATAGAGATTCAAATCGTCATGAAGAACAACATCGACTGTAGTATGTCTTCTTTATTGGTTGCAAATTGCATCAGAATTTATTTATATTAACCAACATGAGGTTTCAAACCCGTTGTGCAGTGCAAGGTAATTTTTCCTGACATAAAATACTTATTTTTCCCTAATCTAATGTTTATCCATGATGGAAAACCATTATGTGAGCATATAGGTCGTCCTTTTAGCAACTAATTAGAAGATTTCTTCTTGAGACAAAGATAATTACTCCCAATCTTGCAAAGTTCAAAAAATGCAACCTAAATCATCATATAGTATCTCAAAGAGACGAAGAAACCTAATTTGTCTTTGAACAATTTGAATCTTCATCCACGGGAGGTCGCTTTACGAGGATTAAAGCGATGCATCTATATTTTCTACGTAACTTGTGATCCAATTTAATATACATATCCTTCTTTATTTGACTGTGTGAAAAAAAATTCTCCTCAATCAAATCGTCAGTAGATATGATAAGTAAATTGAAAACATATCAAGGATCTTTCATAGTTGATTAGAGATTTCTACTTCCTTACATCAATAAAATGACTTAGTAAGACTAACCGTGGAGAGATAGTAGATATCTTATTAGAACAATAGTTATCTACTTCGGTTAATTCTTAATTTTTGTCTCTCTTGTTTTATTGCTCGATTGTATCTAATTTATGTAAAAATAAATTAAGATATTATTTAAGATTTCTTACAGTGGGAAGTTCGAAAGATTGATTGGTGCAAAGTAGTTTTACGTACTTTGCCAAATTGTTAGTGAGGTAAAAAGATCTATTTTTTATCACTCGACTTAGAAAACCCACCAAATTCAAGAAACCGTCCAGGTGAATTCGAGCATCAAAACCAAAATATCTAATGTTCAACCTGTTTTTTTCCTCAGAAAGGAATGAATTTTTCGTCCTAAATTCTGAAAAAGCTTTTGGGTTGGAGAATTTTGGACCTCACCAAATTGTCTGGTTAAGATTCATCCGACTTCAAATCTCCCACAGCTCTCACGTTGTGACAAGTTTCCTGCTCAAGACTTCATTGCCCAAGAACACTCTCCAATTTCCCTAATCTCCAAATTTCTCCAATACCCATTTCAAATCTCTGGCGGTAAATTTAAGGGTTCCATCTCGTTCTTCAAATCGACTCGCAACGAACGACGGGTCGAACTTTGATCGGCGTATTTCCTCTCGTTTAGCTTTTGAAAAGTATGGTGGGAGCTTTGTCTGTTGTGGGTTCTTCAGTGGTGGACTCGCATACTTCCCCTTGCTTGTGTTTGGATGCTTTGCCCACAACGAGTATCAATCTCAAAAGTAGCGGAGATTTTGTAATGAAAAAGAGTTCAATGAGTCGGAACCGTTTGCCGAAACCGAAGCACTTGGATTTGAGCAGCTCGTTCGTCGATACTGGCCGAGAGTGGCTGCTCTCGGTGGATATGATAAATCGGAGTTCAAGGAAGCAGCACAAGAACAGAAGAAGACTTGTGGTTGTTGATGAACTTGGAGGGCAGTATGAAGATAGCTTTGAGGATGTTAAAACGGTAAGAATGTGTTACTTAAAGATAGATAGGCAAATAAGCATGTTTTGGTAGTTTCTTAGGAGACATTGTTGCTATGTCTTTTAGGAGATGAATTTTGCATGGTTAAGGAGAAGCACTGCGACTGATATGTTACTGAATTTTGACAAGAATTCCCTTGTATCTAAATGAATGTTTGACTCTAATTCAAAAGTGATTTGAGTGTGTGGTTCCAGCTTCTTCCTCAAAATGTTACAATTTGTGTTGTATTCAAATTTTCTTTCGTGGTTTTTTCCTCAAACTTTCAACTTTAGAGATGGCGAAAGGTATCTTATCTACTAAGTTATGCTCGTACTGACTACTTGTTACGAAGATAATAGTTCTTGGAAGGCCTTGTTTTTTGTGCAAATCACGTATGCTAAGAAGTCTTTGAAATTCATGTTTCTTTCCAGTTACTTGATTATTACCATGTTGATAAACATTAGTAATATAGGACAACAAATAGATTCTTGTCCTAACGATGCAATTCAGATGTTGGTGGGGCTTTAAGCATGGAACAATGATGGGAAAACTGTGAAAATCCTTTCTTCCAAATGATCATGTGAAGATTTTTTAGAGAGCTAAGGAAGTTGGCCTTTATACTTAAAACTCTAAAGGCATACTAAGTCTATAGCAACAGCGTTAGAACATCTGTTCTCTTGCTTGTTAGTGCTTTCGAAATATTTTGGGGGCATTTATGCGTGACTATATAGTAAAAGCTAGAAAGGACTTCTTCAACTTACCTGCTGTATTCTGGAGATTGGTTGCACATTACAAATGGTATTAGAGCCAAAAGTTTGGTTATACCATGGCTAATGGGAATTTCTTCCTWAAGTAACATTGGGAACTGCACTAACATAAATCATAAGAATTAAGAAGAGGTAATAAAGAAGTGTGCAAGGTAACAAAAGTGTGTAAACTATAAAAGATTGTCCCACAGTAGCTCTCCCACATAATAACTCTACCAAATAATAGCTTTCATTGCACCTATTACAATTTTGACTACCAAACAATCAATTTGGTCCCAAGATATAGAGGATGCGGTCAATACAGCCAAACCACACTCTTAACTCAAGTCAATTCATGAGCTTTTTTAAGGCTACCAATAAGGTACACAAGAAGTACAAAAGCCAGTAGGATGCAGAGAGGAAACTGGAAATTTTCTTCTTAATGCTTATGAGATGCTTCGGACTTAAGTTTTCCATTGATGTGAATGATTACATCTTCTCCCTTTACTTTTGTGTTTTCCAGTTTCTTGAGCTTTATCCTTCTCCCACCCTTTGTATGATCATTTGCGGTTGCCTACAAGTTAACAATTGAACTGACTGATATTTCTCTGCCTGCAGCAAATACTTAATTATTTTACATACAAGGCTGTGAGGACTGTTATGAACCAGCTTTATGAAATGAACCCCCCACAGTACAGGTGGCTTTACGAGTAAGTGTGTTCTTTATTACTATGATTTAGTCGTATTCAAGATGAATGTGAATCTCTTAAACGAAAACTTGGGCATAATTTTGACTTTATGCTTAACTATCCGTTAGATCAAGATTTATATGTCCTCTATTCAATATACCTTTTTTTTAGTTTAATGATTTGGGAGTGAGAACTCGAACCTCTAACCTTTAGTACAAATGTGTAGTATCTTAATTATTTAAGTCATGCTAAGATTGACTCCTCCATCCAATATTTGACTTTCTTATAATAATGGTATAAAGAATATGTACAAACGTGATGCCTGTTTTGAACATTTTAATTGGAATTTTGGGGGAGGGAGAAGAAGAATGTAAGATTTGGAACCTACAACTTAACATATTTTTTCACTATTTTAAACCTACAGCTTGATGTAGTTTTGTATGATCTCGAACCTACAACTTAACATATCCTTTCACGATTTTAAACCTCAAACTTGACGTATTTTTTAACTTTGAGATTAGCCATTTTTTCTATGTGATACAATAAATGGGATCAGTTCACAATACTGGTTTCCAATGTAAATGCATCAAATAGTTGCAGCATCTTATGTCAAGCGAGCTCAATTTTAGCTGTCAAGTTATAGGCTTTTAGTGCGGGTCTGCTCTTAAATTTTGATACAGTTATTTCTGTCAACAGTTTCGTCTTAACTCACAAACCAGCTGAAGGAAAACGTTTCATCCGCACACTCGTAAAGGTACTTACAATCCATACGTACTTCATGACTTAGATACTACTAAGTAACATGGAGAAGCAAAACCTCCACTAATCAATGCTTAGTACATGTTTTTCTCTACTGGTTTTGTACTCTTCCTGTGACTTGTTCTAGGGATCTCATGTTTAACATGGCTTTATTTCAAGCATTTGGCTATCTCAGGAAAAATGTACATCCTAGTGTAGTGGTAGCACGCAGATGTTACAAAATATGATATGTTGCAATAGTTTTAAAATTTTAGTTTCAGTGTAGTCCACTCCTAAAAGTTTTGTTACAGTCTATCTTTTGCTTAAAGGTTATCAGATGTCTATTATTACCAAGTTATTGGCAATTGCACTTGAAAAGTAGTTATAGGAATGTAATGGATCTTATTAGTAGTACTATAAAATAACATTAACTCATCTTTTCAATCAAAATAATGTTTTAAAATCTCAAGCAATGTGGCCCCAAGAGCCAACCCAGTGGTCATATTGGTTTAGAGGTCTCAAGTTCGAACCTTCTAGTGAGCTTAACACTAAAAATCCTTGATGTATAGGGAAGCAAAGCATCCGGATCTTGGGACGGGCGTGAGTGCCCATGGGTATAGGGGTGCAAAGCTCTGACTCCCTATTGTCAAAAAAAAAAAAACGAAAAAAATCCTCACTCCTGAATGACCTCTTTCTGAATCCGAAACAATTTAATTGGCACCCCTTGTAAAATAGGGTCTTGTTGCACCTGAATCATTGTTTTCCTAACTGGCAGGAAAGGCAAGATCTTGCTGAAAGAGTAATGGTCACACGTCTTCACCTGTATGGCAAATGGGTGAAGGTATTGCTACTATTATAATATTCCTTCAATACAATATTTTCTATTTGTTATGGTATGATCACCAAATCATCACAAGTGTGCAAATAAGTGTTTCTTCTGTGGTGTAGAAATGTAACCATGCCGAAATATACCAAGAGATCTTGGATGAGAACGTGGAAGTAATGCGAGAACGGCTTATGGAGACTGTTATATGGCCATCAGATGACACAAACACAGAGAAGATTGGCTAAAGAATATGAGTAGCTTTGAGTTCTCTCTCCCTTGTCAATTCTTCTTGCCTTGCATCCTTCATTCGTAATTAGTTTGATTGTCGAGTTGCCGATCTTATTCTCACCCATCGACGAATGGTTCAGTGATGCAGTCTTTTTTTGTTGGTAAGTTCATTGATGCAGTCAGTCATTATATTATGTAAGATGTATATATATTTAGCCTCCATTTTAGTTCAATATGGACTAATGTAGAGCTGGGATTTTCTCAGAACTTATGCTTCTATTTTATATTGGGATGGGAGGCTGCCAGAATGAGCCTCAATGTGCAAGTTACTGATTCTTTCCTTATTTTTCCCACCTTGGATAATTTTTTGGCTCTAATTGTTTGCACAACTTGAAAAAGATTGGCCTTGAAAATGTTACATTTTTACTTGATTGTGCTTGAGTTCAACAAATATGGAGACGATTGATCGAACCTTCAACACCTAAAAAAAATAGTAAAATGCCTTAATCATTGAGCCAAGTTCATGCAAATATGCTTGAATTGTCACTCTTTTGTAATGTAGAGTTATAGTTATTAAATAAATGTATATGGAATTAGTTAGAAATAAGAAAAGATATTCTAGTAATTGTCATACGACTTGCACCTTCAAGTGCTAGCGCAGCGGCAAGCGGTTTGAGTGTTGACACTCAAGATCCAGGTTCAAGTCTTGTGTTCAAAAGTCACAAAAAAAAATTGTCATACGAAGAAAATTTAGTAAATAGCATCAAGTTTTTAAGTTCAATTTCAAAATATTTGTGATAAATACATATTTAGAGATATAATTGATTTTCCAAAATCATCATCCAAATGGTTCCTTAAGAATCAATCTAAAGTTATTTTAAACTTTCTTAAAATCAATTTTCTAATTTGTCGACATAATCTAATTTGAAATCACTCTCAAACACAGCCTTTGCACCCTTTGTAGAACAAAATTTACCAACATTTCTTGAGATCTCTAGTTTCCGAGAAAGCAGGAAAGTCATTCCAAGAAGATTGATAACAGAAAAGATCGGATGGCACTTATGAGTGCAAGCCCTGTTCTACTTGCACCCAAAATCAAAGCTGTATACACTCACAAATATGTTTCAAATATGACATTAGACTGCAAAATAGAGTCCAGTGTATTATTTCAACTATCCGACGCTTCAAACAAACCATTCAGAGGTTCCAACCATGGAAAGGGACTGTTCTTCATTATCTCTGATGAAAAGAGCTTATGTTCCACCGATCAACACCATAATCTAGTTTAAACATCTTAAATTCTGCTACATCATCAACGTTTCATTTCTATCCTAAGTAACAAAAAACTGGAAAATAAGTAAGATCTGGACCATCAACATATACAGGAGCATCCCTTTTCCTCCTGCATCACAGAAAAATGATGGTTCTGCTGATAAATATGGACTGCACCACAATAGACACTCCAAAGCTTTGTCCATTTATACACCTGTTCTAAAATAACAGCTATAAATCTCAGCTCAAAGGACTATTCAGATTATTCACTCAATTTGTTTATACAAATGGCCCTGCTACAACTTATATTATATTAATCAACTATAACCAAATCTAAATTAGTTAAATCGGAAACAAGACAATGAAGAGGAAGAGATAACTAAGTAGAGTGGTAGATTTGGACCATGTCATTACACCAACTACTTATTTTGCCTCTGGTTTGAAGGAGAGGAAACGTCTGGCATAAATTGAATTACCTGTGGAAGCTTGCATAATATAAGCTGTCCCTGAAAAGGTACAACTTAGCCAAACAATCATTCACGTGGTTTTCAGTGTTTTTCCTTCACAAAACTTTAGAATATATTTCTCGGAGCATGAAAGTGACAATTTGTTGCCTATATACCGAACCCTCCAAACAGAACAGCAATTTATATCACCTGATGAATAATGAATTTTTTATAGGCAATATTTACGAGTCTTATATTACACTTTCAAGCCAAACTAACCACATGATCATTTGATAACAAACAGAAGAAAAAGAAATTTTTGAGAGAGAGAGAGAGATGCAAAACTCCCACCAACAGAGACTGGTATGCATCCAAAAATTAAGATTTTTATGAGTAACCTGTAAGGTCAAGAGCAGCCCGTGGGATTTACTGGAAACCCAGAAAAGGCTTCTATGTTCCTGCAAAAGGCAAGCAAGACGGCATAAGCAGAGTATGCTAGGTTAGAGGCTGGAGCTCGGGTTACATTTCTTTATTCAGAAAACGTTTGACAGCAAATGAAGATCTGCCCAAGTTCCACAAATCTCTTTGAACAGAGAGATAGAACCGTAAATGTAAATCCATCAAAATTCACAAAAACATTTAGAAAATAATAGACTAAAAGGTTCGCCTATAAATTAACATGCACAGTAGGCACTAAATTGCATTTTTTTAAGAGAAAAAATTGCTTATTTCAAAGATACTGTTTTTTATAACCACCTGCCATTTTTAAAAATTAAAGCAACACATGACATATTGGTTGATATATATTTCACAAGTACACCATCTGTGACAGCCTCCTAAATGTAATAACGAGAAGCCTTTAGTTTGATTGGACAACTGGGAAGGAAAAACAGAAGTAAACTAATAAGATTGAAACATACCAAATTGATCAAAACCGCCAATGAAAAAGCTCAACAATATCCTACAGAAAAGGTTGATAAAAAACAAAATTGCAAGCAGCCTCTTCTTCTCTTGGGTGGTTTCAAGGATGGGAAAATTTATAATGTAATACCGTCACCAAAAGCTATTAGCTGCCCAAGCACTGTTCTCACGCGGAGCTGTGAAGGAGAAAAGATATTAAGATAAAATATGAAGAGGAAGGGGGAGGGGAAAGTGAGGTTTAAATAGTAAATAGATGACCTTTACATCCAGGCACGCATCATTGACCATATTCTTTATCTGAGAAACAATACCAGCTTTTCGAAGCTTTGTAACCCGATCTAGTGCACATGGACTTGAAGGCAAAGTAAGATTTATAATGGTCCAGACAGCAGCAATCCGAAGCTGACTGTTGCCACTCTGCAGAAACTTCACTACAAATGACTGGATCGCGTCATCTCCTAAGGGAAATAGTTGTTTCATTACCCCTTCCTTATGAAACTCATTTCCACTTGCAACATTGCAAAGTACATACATTCCCTGCATCCGTCATACTTTAATAGTTATTCAACTAGATGAAGCTTATCATTTGCTGCTCTAACCCCTCTTCTCCATTCCAATATGGTTTCTTTTTTTATCAAATATGGTTTACTTAGTAGTTGATAGATATATTCAATACCACAGCAACATGCCATGATTTTATAGTGTCATATAAAATTCCTAAAGTATGCTAACAATTTCAAATCTTTATCAAGGTTTACATACACTAATGATAAGTGCCACGTGCTAATATGAGAATCCTTTGATACTGTTTGAAAATGAATATGCTGATAATTATTCAATAGACAGACAAATGTCAGCTTTTATGGTAAGAGTAAGATAGACATGTAATAAAAAGGAATTGTAGACAAATGCCACAAAACAAGTGAGGAAGGGTAAATGAAACTCCAACAGGAAGGAGAAAATTTTTCATTTGGCAAGTCTTCCCAAGGTTATTTGCTCAACCAATTACCAGAAATCAGAAGATTATGGGTTTCCATCTAAAGAGACACCCAATTATGATACGGGGCTACAGGCTTACAGCACAAGCAAGAAAAGATGTCAGTTCCTTTATCCTTTCTTCACTCAAAGTGATACTTCGAGTAGAGAGTCAGAGACTAGCTTAAAGGTCCTTGTGACCTTAAAAATAGATATCTTACTACTTTGTCAGTCTTGATGTAAAATAGTAAGCAGAGTGTCAGACGTATTTATGAGCTCTACCAAGGAGGGAAAATGTAAATGTCTCAATGTAGAATGTTTAATCAATTTGTGTGCCTATTGTGTTGGGTTAACATGGCTACAAAAAAAATAATTATTTCATAGCTTTTGAGCTTACAAAATAAACTTTTCTTTTGAGCTTACATCATTAAAACAAAACTGAACGAACCTGCACTCCAATTTCATCTCTTGAAATACTTTGCAATTGCCGGCCAATAGCATTCAATATAATACCATCTTCAGCGAACACATACTCAATTGAGTCCACACATCCATCAATAAGATTGCGCACAAGGGCCATAGCATTCTCCTGTACGGAAGGCTCAGAATCTGAAACATAAACATATGCAGCAAAATTGATTAAACACAAAATAAAATCAACCAGTTTAAGAGATGGACAGACAGAGGTCAATAGTACCACAGACAAGGCTGGCTAACAAGGAAGCTGTTAACTCCATGAAGATCACTTCTTTACACATGTTGTTCGCGAGGAACATTAAGTTCCTCAGAGCCCACAATGCATTAGGCCGTGTAGCCAAATCCATAGACTTTGATAATCGGACCAGCTCTTTCACACCTCCACACTCTATAAAAATTGTTCTCTTTGTAGAAAAGTCGACAACTATGTTGCTTATAGCACCAAGTGCTGCAACCTGGTTAAAGAGTACAAAATTATGATTATTGCGAAAAACTAAAAATTACTCAACAGTTTTCCAAACAACTCCTTTCTATCTGAAAATTAAATGGCTAAAAGAATAGGAAGTTTCCCACTCCTTGGAAACTTGATTTGGTGAGAATGAGATAAAGATGCATACCTGAACATCATTAGAAGAATCGTGTAAAAGCCGAACTAAGGGAAGGACAACTGCTTCGTTCAGAAAGTATCCTGCACTTAGATTCTGAATAGGATGACATTAAAAATAAGGGGAAACGGAGAAGAACATTGTATGTAATCAGAATAGCTAATATTAATATAGCATACCTTGATTGATCGAGAGACGCTTCTCAAGCAAGTGCAAGCTGCAGTGCGTATGTCACTACAGTCATGTTTTAGGGCATCCATCACTATGTTCATTACCTAGGTCATGATTGTAAATAAATAAGTGAAATCTATACAATACACGCAAGTTCAATTCAATCAAATTTCCGATTTGTTAACCTCTGTCAGTTGGCAGCTTAATAAAATTACAAAAAGGTAAAATAAAGAAAAAAAAATTTTGAGTACCCACTACAACTATTTTTCTTCAACAAATGTGTTTTTTCTTCATGTTCTTTTTCATCCTCTTCTTTTTTTTTCTTTTTTCTTTTTTTTTTTTTTCCTTCAACTGGAATGGACCAGCTGATATAATTTTTAAAACCACATAACACTTTTTTCCTTGGAAGAAGTTTAAAGGATCAGAAAACAGATAACAAATACACCTTTGTCAAAGCAAAGGAGATTTTTTTTTTAAATCTTTATAATCAGGATCAGATCAACTCAGGGGTGAAATAACCATTGACAAAAATTCAAATAGACAAGCAAACAATTTTAGATATCAATTTAGGTACCTAGCCATGTTGACTTAGTGAAAAACATGACTAACCTCTGGACTAGGAAAACTGCACAAGTTAAATACATCGTAATTGATAAATGTTAACAAAAACCAATAAAGTTGACTTGAAAAGGAAGTTAATGCAATCAGACTAAGAAACAAACCTGCAATGAGAGAAACCTTGACCTACAGCTCTCCACGTTTGAGCATAGATGAGCAAAAGCCAGCAATATTCCTTCAAAACGTCTAGGACTTAACTGATCCTTTTGCAAGTGATTGTAAAACTTATCGATGGCATTTGCCTCAAAAGCTAGTCTCTGTAGCTCCTCCTTCTCTGCAATTAAAGTTGAAAAGACGAAGGAAGCTTCATCTCCAACATGACCTGGATTGTCAAGAAGCTCAAGCAAACTATGGATCAATTTCATTTTGATTCCTATATCTTGCAGATAACAAGGTGATGAATTCCTTATAACAATCAAGCATACGCAGGCTAGCAATCTGGTCTTAGGATTTCTATCCTTCATCAATTCAATTATATAACTCAAACAGTCTTCTCTACCAGGTTGCATGAACTTTGCTATGGCTTCAACATTGTTCTTAAATATTGTGGCAATAGACTCTAAACTAGCATCCCTTTGACTTAGAGAACCATCAAGAAGGCCAATAAGCTTTTCTAGAACTCCACCATGATATAGTGCCTTCTGCTCTGCAATTGTCTCACAGGAGTGAACAATGATACTTGCCCCAAGTCCAGTCACATTTTCATTTTGACTATTCAATAATGAAAGAAGAAATTTGGTGTTTTCCTGCTGTAGGAAATCATATTTAGGAGCCAACTTTGATTGATAAACCATTCTTAGTGAACGAGCTCCTGCATCCACAACCTTAAAACAGAAAAATATATATTAAACAAAATTCACATTATGCATGAAAAGTAAAGTTGAAAAAATTTGCAAATAAAAAACGAAGAAGACAACAGATAAAGGTTGCATTATGTACATTACAAGTTCTTGTTAAAAAAAAAAAAAAGGAATCGTGTATAAAGAAAAGTCAAAATGGATACAAAGTAGTTATATCTTCGGTTAATTGACAAAACAAATTGTCTGGAGCTGGGGACTTTTCTTGATAGTCCCGATTTAAGCACTTTACAAGCAGGCAACTATCATTCTAGAAGACTATTCCAATAAGATTTTGGAAGGAAAAATCTAAGAGAGCTAAATTTTTCCGATGGATGCTTTTAAGGTATCAATACATGTGAGAGAATTCAAAAAGGCACCCAAAGCTTCCCGTCTAATTTCTTGACCATATTTCCCTTCGTTTCCCATTCTCATGTTTTTGTTAATGGCAAATCTTCAACATCTTTGGTGTCTCTTGGTGTGATCCACGCAGATTCTGTGTCATAATCTTTTTGCTGTGAAAAGAGGATTCTTTGGCTTAATGCTACAACAAGGTTCTTTATAAGAGGATTTGGCTTGAAAAAATAAATTTAGGAATTTTGAGGAACTGAAAGGAACTTGTATGACTTTCGAAGAATTACTGGTTTGGTCACTTTCAATTGGAACACATTTTTTTTTTCTTTTTGAAAACTGGGAGTAGGAGCTTTGCTGAATTGGAACACTTTGGATAAAACATTTTGTAGTTATTCTATTTTTCTTCGTAATATCAACTGGAAAGGGTTTTTTCCCCCTTTGTGGATTTATCTCCCTTGGTTTTAGGTTGGGGGAAACTATATCCTCTTTATTCTGTTGTATTCATTTCCATCTTAATATGGATAACAATTTGTCAGCATCCAAAATCAATAGCCCCTCTCTCTTGATTATTAATAGACATAGAAAGAGTTCAAAATCCAACACTATCCCCACAAATAAATTCCATCAAATCAAAGGATAGTGGGTGAAACTTGAACGAAAAGAGAGTAGGGGGGGGAGTTTGTTATCGTGATTATCATCCCTTAATAATAAATGGCCATAGAAACAACGCATTCGAAAAATTCCCAGTAAGAAAAATATATCAAACGATGGTCCTGCCACTTCTACTTTCCAATTATTCCCTTTTTGTAGTGGTAGTCAACTGAACGTCTATAACACAACTAAACAACCTCGCAAGCAAGAGCACCCAGTTGAGATAATTCAGACACCGTGTTTAGAGAAATCAGAAGGAGAACGAAGCTTTTTAAAATCTTAATTTACCACCTAGAATACATCTGAGCATTTGTTAGTTAAATTTAGTGATGGGATTTTTCAATAAATGCAATCTTCAATTCCGAGCAAATTCAGAGAAACAAGAAGACCGGCACCTTAGGATCGGGATTGGAGAGCAATTGGAGGAGGTGAGGGAAGGCTCCGGCATCGAGAAGGGCGGAGACACCGGCGTCGACGCCGCAAGCGAAGCTGCCAAGAACAGCAGCGGACTGGACGAGAATGTTGGGGTCGGAAGTGGAGGAGAGAACAGCAGCAACGTGAGGGACAAGGCCGAGCTTGATGAAGGAGAGCTTCTTGGTGCGGTTTCCGATGATCTGGTTCTTGATGTCTCTCAATGCCTTGAGCTTGACGGCGGCGTCGGCGGCGGTCAATCGAACGACGAGGTCGGAGGAGGGCTTGGGAGTGGTGGAGGAAGCAGAGGTAGGCATCGTCCCAGTACTGAGTGCTACTGGGAAGAGAATGGCATCGAGGCCACAGCAGACTGCAGAGAGAACACCTCAAGACTCAAGAGCTTCAGAGCAACAAGAGGACCTCCAATGGAGTTTTTTTTGAGGGGAAAACAAAAATTCTCTCTCTCTCTTTTGGGGATTTTTTTATCTTTCAATAATTTTGACGGTGCAAAAACAATCAATTTTTTTTTTATAATGTGTATTTGCACGAAAATAATTCTAAATATTGTGTTCTTTCAAAAGTAAGGGACAAAAAATGCAAATATGGTATTTTTACACAAATCATTGATCATGGATTGACTTTGATTTTTTTTATCGGGTATAGAGATTTGAATTTTCTACTCAGGAAAATTAGATTAACGTAGATCTATACTCATTTTGACGATTGASTTTGATTATTGATAGTTAGAGAATTACGTATCATAGTTTTTAGAATGGTGTTTATTATGTTGGTGTAGTTATTTTATATATTGTTCAATATTCATATTTGTGCAACTATTTGACCAGAYAGTGTTCGTTCTAACTTCCAACTATTGATACGATCAATCTATTTGAGATTTATTTTTATAAATGAGTTGTTATGTTTTGTCTCATTTATAAAGTATGTGGTATTTATTTTATTGTCGTGTTTTTTGATAGGTCTTCTTGTTTCGTTTTTTTTTTCAATATATGTATAGTATCCACAAGTATGTGGAGTACTTCGAACTTACTTCTTATAAAAGATTTATATGAATTAGTGGYTTAACTACGTTGATGCTAGTTTAAAATATGAGTGTTGTATTTAATAGAGGCTCATGAAATAAGTTAAATTACAATTTTAGTTCATAACATTCATGTTTGTGTCCAATATTTTAAGTCGTGTCTAAATTTACCATTTATGTTGAATATCTAGGTAAAACTTTAAAATGTTGTTAATAAATCTCAACCTTTCAAATTTGTGTCTAACAAGTCTTTTGACTTTCAATTTTGCTTCTAACGGTCCTTAACCTATTCGACTTTTTTTTTTTAATTCACATACTTATTAAGCATAAAATTATATTTCATCTAATATATATGTTGATTTTTAAAAACAATTAATAGATTAGGGATTTATTAGACACAAAATAAAAAGTTTAAAGACATAAAATATTTACAAAGTCTAAGAATTTTCTAGACCTAAAATTACAATTTTATAGATTTATTACATTTTTTAAAGTTAGATAAACCTATTAAACACAAAATAAGCATGTGAATTACCCTTACTAAAAAAGAAAAGCATATGAATAGTTACTTTTTTATTCCATTTGTCTCTAAGCTATAAAATTATGTGGTACGTTTGGACATTTATTATACATGAAATTGGAAATCTAAATACCTATATGTTTTTTAGTGTTTATAAACTATTAAGTATAAACAAATCATCCGTTTATAGTTAAATAGTATACACTGATTTCTCTAAAGGTTATAACTTACGTTTAAATCTCCATTATCCCATTCGTTGAAAAAAAAAATAAGAAAATTATTTAGTCAATTAATGAACGTTTTAAGAGGTTCAAAGCATGTGAATTAACATGCCAATATTCTCTCACGAAATCATATTCATCCACTTTTTTTATTATTTTTATTTTCTTAAAACGAGGTTTAGATGAGCTTTTAAATTACACATTGTAGTATAAATTTCATTTCAAAATTTAAGTACAAACTAGCTTTTCACTTTAATATCAAAATTTTTGTTTCATAGATTATATTATATTTAATCATTCGAATAGATTCAATAAAATAAAATTGACTTGAAGATGACATCTTATCCACTTGAATAAATGTACGATAGTGGATAAATACCAAATTTGAATAATGATAAATATATAAAAAGTTTAAAGTTTGACTCAATTGAACTCAAAAAAAAAATATAATAATAATAATAAACTATAAGTATTATATTTATATTTATGTTGGTCGAATAACATTGATTCTTAAACAATTAGCGTTACTTACCATCTCACTAAACCTTAAACAACAAACATTATACTTATATTTAGTAGACTACAAATATAAATATTATTAAACAAAATATTAAAACAGTCTACTCCGTAAATAATATAGACTACATATTTCAATGRCAAATACTCAATCTTACATCTCTATGATTGTTGTATTAAAAATGAGACAATATTAAAAATATAACTCATTAGAAGAAAAATGAAGTAAACAAATAAAACCTTAATTTTGTTTTCCTTCTTTATCCATCACGTTGAATTCATGCACTCAACCTTTACTTTTTTTTCATTGACGAATTCTCCTATCTTTTTTTTAGTACAACATATAATGATGAAGATTGAATTCACGATTTATTAATTGTAAATAGGTGTCTTAACCATATGCTCAAGTTGGCAACAAATTATCATATCTCCCTCTAATTTATGTCACTATTTTCATTATATCATATATAAATTTAGGTGCTTAATTGGTCGTCGAGAAGAGTAGATTAAACTCTCCAATCAAGSGAGCAATAGTCAATTTTGAGCCTTAAAAGACCAACTATGTCGACTATAAGCTCATGGGCATTGATCTCGATTTTGATTTTTCTTTTTCTCAATATTTYAAATTAATCGGTAATATAACTTTAACATGTGTGTTCCAACTCTTCTAAATAACAAAAAAGAAGACAATAGTATATATATTTTGCACAAAATATTGTGGTTTTATTATAGTATAAATAACATATCCTAATTCTTTAAACATGTCATATCAGTCCACCTTCATTCTATCTCTCTTCTCATTCTATCTCTCTTCTCTAATGGATCAAAATTAAAAAAATTAAAAAAAGTTTAATTGTTTATAAGGGAAAGAAAGGAAATTATTTTTAAGATTTTTAAAAAGTTGTGAAATAGATGGTAAAAAATATCTTAAAAAATTATAAAAATATTCTATGCTGTTGTGTTGTATGCCGATGATAATTAAGGACAAGAGGAAAATTTCTTCAGGAAAAATAAATAAAATATTGCTAAGAATTTTTTATAATATTGTTAAGAATCCAACCAATTCCAAAAATAATACTACTTTCAAACTCATTCAAAAAATAATATTCAAATAGTTTTTGAAGTTTGTGGGACCCACAAAAATAGTTTTTTTTTTTTTAAATTTCGGACAGGTGGCAATCCATTCACCTCCCCTTCTCCTCCAATTGCTATTCCTCTCGTTCCGACTATTTTTATTTCAAATTCTTTCTTCGTTGGCGGCGGCGGCGGCGGCGGCAGTACCTTCGGGTCTTTCTTTGAGCAGCACGACTTCTTCATTGCCATCTACGTTTCTTCCGATTCCGTTTGGAATTTTCACTTTCGTTGTTTCTCTGCGATTAGCGTCCAACGCCCGTGAACCGATCAACATCTTTTTCTTTCATTTTTGTTGTTTGTCTCTGCTACTTGCGATTTGTTTGTTATTTGTTTATTTGTTGAATAGCTTTCAAAGGAATTCGAAATCTACAACCACGATGTTAAAGAAAATGGAATTAGATCAAAATCTGAAAGTCGAATCACTGGAAAATCGACCAAGCGGTAAGCACTTGTTTTCTCTGAATGGTTGAAGTTTCTAGAKRATTGTTTGAAACTACGAATCCAGAGTGATTGTTTTGAAACTACGAATTCAGAAATTACCTCCGAATATCTAGCAGCACTTAGAAATCCTAAAGTTGTGAGACGATTTGAAGGTAATTTCATTTTTTCGAGTCTCAATTGAATTATTGTGAAGCAGAAATTTTGAAAACGAAAGTTGGGGAAGAAATTAGGGCTTCGATGCAACAAATAAGTTCATTAATATTATACCAACCGTCGCCTTTCGTGATCTTCTCCTTCCGTAGAATTCACTCCTGCTCGAAGCAATTGCTGCTAGTTGTAATTATCTATTAATTATAGAATTAAGAYCCAAAGCTGCCGCCGCGGGAGAAAGAATTTGAAATCGTCGGAACGAGAGGAGTAGCAATCGGAGGAGAAGGCGAGGTGAATGGATTGCCACCTATCCAAAGTTTCATAAGAAAAATATTTTTGTGGATCCCACAAACATTGTCAGTTCATTCAAAATTTAATTGAGCATCATTTTTTGAATTAGTTTAAAAGTGGTATTATTTTTCGAATTAGTAAAAATATTAAGGGAAAAAGAAAAGGGAAAACAATATTAAGTAAAAAATAGAGAAAAGCAAAATTACTAAGGGAGAAAAGGATAAAATGAAAATTATTAAGGGAAAAAAAGAAAATTTATTGAGGGAGAAAAAGAAAGAATAAAAATTATTAAGGGAAACAAAAAGAAAAAAGAAAAAATATCAAGGGAAAAAGAAAGAAGAAAAATTTATTAAGAGAAAAATAAAAAAATAAAAAATAAAACTTTTTGAGGGAAGAGAAAGAACCAGAAAAATTGTTAACAAACCAAAAAAAGGAAAAAAAATATTAAGGGAAAAAAGAACAAAAATATTAAGGGGAAAAAAGAGTATTAAGGGAAAAAAGGAAAAAAAAATAAGGGAAAGAAAAAGGAAAAAAAATAAGGGAAAATAAATCGGAAAAAAATAAGGGGAAAAAAAGGGAAATAAGGGAAAAGAACGAAAAAAAGAATATCACGGAAAAAAAACCGTCGCYTGAGAGATTCGAACTCTCGCGGGGAAACCCCATGTACTTAGCAGGCACACGCCTTAACCACTCGGCCAAAGCGACGAATTGTTGCTAGCTTTGAATTAAATACAAATATAAATAATTATTTATCCCTTTCTTATTGCACCCATTTTAAAGACGGACTGCCAACCCAAACCCTCGATTGTAAACAAAATGGTAAAAGCTCACTACTCTTGCTATTTTTTGAATTAAAAAAAAGTTTAAATAATTTAAAGCTTGTGTATAAAGAATAAAGATTGCATCAAATCACAGCAAGAGTCGATATTTTATAAATTAATACTATAAAGTTAGAATATGTTCGGGAGTGATTTTGACATACTGGAATTATTTTTACTATTGCCAAAATCACTTTCATTTTAAAACATAATGTTTGATTAGGATTTATAAGTGATTTTGAAAAAAAGTAAAATCATTGGTAAATTACTTGAAGGGATATTTGACAAAAATTAATAAAAATTTAATTTTTTAAATGGTTATTGTTTTAGTTTTCAAAATTGTCTTTTTATTAATGTTATTTTCACCTTAAATTTTGATTTTTTCTCTTTTATAAATTTTTGGTACTCTCTAACTTTATATACCTTTAATTTTCTTTTATCTTCTCTAATTTTTTTTTCCTGTCATCTCTTTCTAAAAATTTAGTTCCCATATATTTGCTTCTAAGTTTTTTCTTCTTTCTACAAATTTTATCAATTACTCTTTAAATTTTCTCTCTAAGATTTTTTTCTCGGTCTAAATTTTTAAAAACTACTTTTTTTTTCTCAAAACTTGACTTATATTTTGAAAATATTTAAAAAATAAATAACAAACTAAAGAAAATATATTTAATTTTTARAAAACATAAATTTAAAAATAAAACGATTATCAAATTATTCCTTATTAATTTAAAATAATTAAGAGCAACTTTTGAAGTTGGCTTTTCCAACAAGAATTTGATGTATTTACAATAAACTTATAAATTCTTAATTTTTTTTTAGTATAGATAGGTAGATATTCAGCCATCAATATCTTAATCAATTTGAACACAAATAAATTGGTTGGTTACTTTTACCTGTTTATTCAACCAATAAGTTTTTTTTGTTGTTACTTATTTTGTAATTAAACTTTTTAAACATCTTGTTCTACGGCATTTTTTTTTCCTCTAACAATTGTTTTTCTTAATCTTTTATCAGACAATTCAAAATAAATAARATATAATTATCATTTAAATTATATAAAATTAAAACAATTATCTTACAAAAAAGAGAGGTTAACATATTGGATTTAGAAATTGAGAGCTTATTAGGATAGTAATATTAAAAAAAAAAATCATCTTTTTTTCCTCTTCTTGAAATAAAAAAATCCTAAAGACTATTTGAATCAGTTTTTAGTTTATAATTTTATATAATGTTAGGATTTTGGGAGGTGAAAAGACTTTATTGACCTTAAAAAAAGCCTAAACCCACGCCCTTCTCTCGTCCTCCAACGACTCCTTCCATCTGCTTCCGGCGAGCGAGGCCACGGCGGCGAACTCTCAGGCGACGAACACAGCGAACGTCCGGCGGCCATTGCGAAATTTTCCAGGCGCGAACAACGGCGAAGCGAAAGGAATCAACGACGGCGAACTCCGGTGAGCTAGCTTCAAGCAACGACGCCGCACGCTGATTTGGTTCTTCTTTGGTAAGTCAGTTCTTCATCTTCGTTCTTCGCTTTAAGTTTCTTCTTCTTCTAAGTGTTCTCATCTTCGTTGCTTGAGTTCTCTTCTTCGTAGTTTGAGTTTTCTGGTTTGTTGCTTTGATTTTGGCCTTGCAAGAAATTGCGAGAAGTTGCAAGAAAAAAATCGAATGTAAAATTGCGATTTGACTTACATTTTTCTTTTCTTTTGATCTTGTTCTTTAATTGCAGTGAKTTGGAACATCTGTTGCTATAAAATTGCGTTGAACTTGTGTTTTTGTGGTTGGTAACATCTCAAGTGGTCAAGCATTAATGTTTCTTCCTATGGAGATCGTAGGTTCAAATTCCTTTTCCTTCTATTGCAATGTGGTATTCTAAAATAATAAAAAGCAACTTGAGAGCGCTACCTAGAGGCATTGCTAAGTTCATGCTTGCAGGCATACACAAGAAAAATGATAACATATTGGAAACATGGAAGTTCCTGAAACACTGACCGGACAAAAGCCAACTTCTAGCATTACTTTTTTGAAATGATATTTTGCATAGTAAACAGGAATAACAACTAAAAAAAAAACTGTAGTTTGAGCATTATTGGAGTCAGAATGCTACAATCGATTACAGTAAACAGCTTTGCATGAAAAATCACCATGGATGATCTAAAAACCCAACTCCTCAAGCCGTTTCTCCACACGATTAATATTCATTTCAGCAGGCCAAAACACGAACCTTTTCCCATCCCCTAATGATGTGTTGGTAGGACTATTACCAATATTCACAGCAAAGCTCATCCCATCAGTTGTTTTAAATTTACTACATTTTTGTTCCAATAATTTTGTTGCTATGCCTACAAAACTAGTACCATCTTGTTCTAATAATTTTTTTGCTATGCGTTGCATATTTTTGTTTTATTTTTGTTCTTTTGGTTTATTTGAAGCCATTTGGAACATATTGTTACTATTCAATGGTTTAGAGGTTGGGTTTTCATGGTTTGTTGTTCTATTTTGGCATTGCGAGAAGTTACGAGAAAGAAAATAGAATGTTAAATAGTCCTTGCCCTTGTATCTTCTTTTTTATTTTTTTTTATTTGAACTCTTTCAATGTATTGGAACATATTATTGTTATTCAATGCCTTCCAACTTGTACTTTCATGGTTTGTTGCTTGATTTTGGGAGTGCAAAGATATTGCGAGGAAAAAAAACAAAATGTTAAATAGTCATTGGTCTTGCATCTTTTTGTCTTCTTTTGATTCTTTGGTCTATTTCAAGGCAGTTGTAATATATTTGTGCTATCAATGCCTTCGATGGTCTGTTGCTTGATTTTGGCATTGGAAGACATTGCAAGATATTCCAAGAAAAAMATAGAATGTTAAATAGTCATTTACCTTGCATTTTTTTTGTTTTCCTTTTGACTAATTTGGTTTATTTCAATGTCTTCCACCAAGTCTACTGGTGACCAAACTGCCCAATTCCATCCATTAAAAAAAGCATGTGAATCTTTAAAGGCAATTTCTTTTGCTTGAAGCTTGAAACTTGAAGCATTTCTTTTGCTTCCTTCTTTGCACAGGATTTTGATTCATAAGCTGAGCAGTGTGGACTTGACTTTTTTGACATACAAACAGAAGTTAGCATTCTGGATAAACATTTATAACTCCTCTATAATGCATGTACTGTTAGACCTGTAATACGCAGATGAATAACAGCTATGCTCCTATTTGAATACACTGTAATTAACAAAATTTCAGGCATTTCTCGAAGACGGGCGGCATTCACATCCTCTCTCTTCTTCAACTTGGACTATCTGTTAGTATTAGCCTTTTCCTCACCACTGTATCCCACTGCCTTGCCGCTTGTTGTCCCATTTGGATCCCTGCCTATTTGTCCTACTTTGATGGCGCCGATGTGAGGTCCATTGGCTCTGTCGATAGTACCCACCAGAAAGAACTGAATCGAACCAGTTTGGGTTTTAATAGTTGGTCGGTTCGATTCAGTCCTCTTYATCCACCAAACCTTTCCCTCCAATCTCACCTTCAGAACAATGTGTCTTGTTATGGGAATGGGAATAAACTAGCTACTCTCCCTCTCTTTAGCCACCCCCTCTAATGTATCTATTGCGAATGTGATCTTGTTTCCCATGTGAAATCTAACCATTTGACTCAAAGATGTCTCGGAGATCGACTAGATTAGTGGAAAAAGCAACGGTACATTTAGAGAAGACCACCAGCAGTGAAATTGCAAAATCACTCAAGTTAAAGAGATGTGGTGGAACTGGGAAAATCCAGAATTCTTCCAGACGAAGGCAGAATTTGAAGCGGAAGAGTGGAAGTGATTCGAATGAAGTTCTGTTCTCTTCTGAGCAATTGGAGGGGAAGAAGAGGAAAACTTGTAGTCAGAGAGCAGTGGTCACAAGAGCAAGTGCTTCAAAGAATTTTGAGTATGAGGGGATCCACAAAGGGGGTGGGAGACCCAGGAAGAGGGTGTATTATCAGAAAGTGGTTTTTGATGGTGGTGAATTTGAGGTTGGGGAGGATGTTTATTTGAAGAGGAGAGAAGATGCGAGCTCCGACGACGAAGACCCTGAAGTTGAGGAGTGTAGAGTGTGTTTTAAGTCTGGAAAGGCTATAATGATCGAGTGTGATGATTGTCTTGGTGGCTTCCATTTGAAGTGTTTGAAGCCATCATTAAAGGAAGTTCCTGAGGGGGACTGGATATGTGGATTTTGTGAGGCTAATAAAATGGGCAAACAGGTTCAATTGCCGAAGCCTCCAGAGGGTAAAAAACGGGTTAGGACAATGAGGGAGAAGCTTCTGGCGGGTGACTTGTGGGCTGCTCACATTGAAAGGTGGATTTCTTTTCCTCTACTTTTTTATTAAATTTTTGAATGTTTATAAATGTCAGCTTAATTTTAGTATGTTCAACTAGTTTACTTGACTAATTGAAATGTGCAGTTTATGGAAAGATGTAGATGGTAACTATCGGTGTAAGGTTAGATGGTATATWATTCCAGAAGAGACAGCAGTTGGAAGACAACCGCATAACTTGAAGAGAGAGCTTTATTTAACTAATGATTATGCAGATATTGAGGTAACTAATTGGTTTTTATAGATGGTAGCTGTTAATATCTCCTTACTTCAGTGATCATCGTTATATTAATTTATACATATGTGAGATACTTCTCTTTTCTTTTCTGTTCTTGTTTTATCTATATTTCTCTTTATATTTGCTAGTTTTATCTATTGAAAGGTCATGTATGCAACTGAAACCCCATGGCATTTATATGCAATTATGCAAAAAAAATGTTGCGGCATCTTTAAAGAACAAGGTTATATGTGAATGAAACTAATCATATCATTCTTGAAATCATAGCCGCGAAACTTGTTTGTTCATGCTCATAATTTTTCTTTTTCTGATTGAAGAAAGACTGATTTCCATCATGGTTCTACATTAAGGAGAACACACGTCAATTCAACTGAGCCCTAAGGAGATCCCTATAGTTTGTAAGTGCATAGTAACAAGCAGAAAGACTCTTTAAGACGAATCCTTGCATTCAAAATGATCAGTAAACTAGGACAAAGGAGTTACTGTTTCCAATTGGAAWTTTTTATAAAAAGAAAAGAAAAGAAAATCCATGTGCATTTCAGCCTCATGTCAGAGTAACATGTGGCAAAATGTGCAGCAAATGTGGGAGAGTTATGGATTTCTTTTTAGCCATTGGTAAAACATAAGGCCAAAGTCTTTCTACTTCAATTTGAAGTTATTTCTAATGAAAATTAAATAGTCCTTGTGCATTCTATTAGAATAGTCGATAACATGTGGTTAAATATGCAGTAAATGTGGGGGAGTCCAGAGTTTTTCTTTAGCTGGTGGTATAAYATAAGGTTAAATTATTTCTACAATTTGAACTTATGTGGGCTGGATATGAGAAGTTGCAAAAAGACCATGTGCATTCTAGTTCTTGTGAAAATAATGTGTGACAGAACTGATTGTAAGAAATAAGAATTTGCATAGGTTAATATTGGGTCTATGCAGGTTGGGTCCTTAAGTGGAAAATATTGTGGTAAAGATGAATGTTGTGGGGGTTAGAAGATTTCATCGTTATGATTGACTTAAGGTCTTTATAGCTATTCAATAAACCATTAATAAATAGAACAAAACTAATGAATATTGAGAGTAAAATACAATGAACTTATTTTTTTAAGCATATAAATGCATAAGCTTGTTAAATTTAGATTTCCTTCTAATATATATCTTAAAAATGTATRTTCTAGTAAATGTGGCCTTACCATGTCCTTATCCTATATTTTTAGAAAATAATGTCATTGCGATCGTGCCGTATTGTGTTTATTCTTCGTTGAAACCATTGATCCTAATAAAGCTCTTTTGAGGTGTCTTAGCATTTAGCATTAGCAACGACCAAGTTGGATTCTTGTAAGAAGATTAGATTACATCCAAAGACTTCTTATCTTAAATTTGAAGCTGGGAAGAATCTTTGCTATTCCTGCATATGTGCGGGATGAAAGAAATATTTAAGTTTGAGTAAGGTTCACTAGATTGAAGTTTCTGTTTGTATTTCGTGATGGAAAGAGAGTTGGTACCAGAAATGATTAATTATGCTAGCTCTTCTCTTTTACTGCTTTTAGTTATATTTTAAAGCTCTAATATTATCTCATATGCAAGGAGAGATCCTTTCGATCATTGTCAAAGTTTCTATATAATCTTTGCAGATGGAATCCATTCTTAGATTGTGTCAAGTCATGAATCCTAAAGACTATTATAATGCTAAGGAAGGGGATGATATCTTTSTATGTGAGTATGAATACGATGTTCGTTGGCATAGTTTCAAACGGTTAGCTGAAATTGATAAAGAAGAGGTAAGCCTTCGAAAGTAGAATTAGCATTGGGCTGTTTTTTCCCGACTTTTGTGAATAAAAGGTTTCTGTATTTCACTGTTTCATATATATATTTAAAATTTTATTTGTATGTTCTACATTGGTAGGATGCTGAAGCCGTTGATAGCGACAAAGACTGGAAGTTGGACCAAGATGCAGAATCTGATTCAGATGGAGATGTGGAATATGATGAAGAGAGAGCACAAAGTTTACAATCTAGAATCTACTCAAGCTCGACCCATGAATTGGCTGCCGTATGAATCTTTTTTTTTCTTATTATGAATTTATTATGACTTTGATCATGCAAACTACTCCTATTGAGAGCTGCAATGCATGGGCAGAATTCAAAAAAAGGACAATTTCGTGGACTACAAAAGATAGGAGCAAAAAAGATCCCAGAGCATATAAGATGCCACAAACAGACTGAATTGGAAAGAGCAAAGGCAACCCTCATGTTGGCGTCATTACCCAAGTCTCTACCTTGTAGAAATAAGTAAGTGGAAATTTTATAACTCWTTTTCTTGATGGGTTATTTTCTCATGTTTGACAAAACATATCTGTTAATTTAGAGAAATTGAGGAGATAACTACATTTATAGAAAGTGCTATATGTGATGATCAATGTTTGGGGCGTTGCTTGTACATCCATGGTGTTCCAGGAACAGGCAAGGTAGTATCTACTTCTTTTAGACAGTGACTGATTATGGCTATAGTGTTCCTTGGATTATTTACAAGTGGTACTTTTGATACTTAAACCAAACTTGCCTTTTCCTTTTGCCTTTAGAAAAATATATATTATAACAACGTTCTAACTTTTTCTTGAATCTAGACAATGAGTGTAATGTCAGTAATGAGGAACTTGCGGGCTAAAGTTGATGCAGGAAATATAAGACCTCATTGCTTTGTGGAGGTTAATGGTCTAAAGCTGGCATCACCAGAAAATATATACAAGGTAATGATGGTGTTGACTCGACTTGATTGCAACCGTGATTATTGTTTATGATGCTTTATATTCTTTCAGGTAATATATGAAGCATTAACTGGGCATAAGATTAATTGGAAGAAGGCTCTTCAGTTGTTGACTAAACGGTTTTCGGATGTAAATAGTTGCAAAGAGGATGCCCGTCCTTGTATTCTGCTCATTGATGAACTTGATCTTCTTGTAACAAGAAATCAGTCAGTAAGTATTGCACTTTCTGATGCTTGTTAAAAATAAGAGCTACTTCATTCCAAATCTTGAAATTGTTATTTGCCGATGCTTGTCTGATAGCAGCTACTTGATTTCTAATCTCTTTTTGTTATACTTTTACAGGTTCTATACAACATTCTTGATTGGCCTACAAAGCCACAAGCCAAATTGATTGTGATAGGTACTCATTGATAGTGCTCTTTGCTTGGTCTGCTCTCGTCTCCTATCATCACTTTATCTTCTTTTCACTGTAATGTAAGTTCTTTTTAGAAAATTAAGTTCTCAAGCATTAAAAGATGGCAATAGGTTTAACCTTTAAGATCGTTCAGATTAAAAAGATGCATTTTCACTATTCTTTAGACGACACATTCAGAGAAATAGGTTCTTGTTGTGTGAGTATGTGATCATAGACCTTTCCGAAACCTATTTTGTAAACAGTGTCCTAATTCATTAGCTATTGGAGCTTCATCAGGATCTCTATCTACCCTCACAAAAGTCCCTTCAGAACATGAGATAGTGCTCGATAAAGCCTTTAGAGGATAATGATGGTTGAATAGGAGTGAGTTCAGTAACTTTTCTCTAATCGAGATTAATACAGGAATTGCAAACACCATGGACCTTCCTGAGAAGTTGCTTCCTCGAATTTCAAGCCGAATGGGTATTGAAAGGCTTTGCTTTGGCCCCTATAACTATCAGCAACTTCAAGAAATCATTTTGAGCCGCCTTGAAGGAAACAATGCATTTGAAAAACAAGCTATTGAATTTGCATCGAGAAAGGTAGTTGTTTTCTTATATATTTATTTTAAGTAATTAATAAAATGAATTATGTACCATATAATTCAAATAATTAGTTTCATTTATGAGCATAATATATATTGTACTCATAATTTGGATTGTTATTTACTTGATCATCATATGGTGTAAATCATTTTAGGTAGCTGCTATTTCAGGAGACGCACGTCGTGCTCTAGAGATATGTAGGCGTGCAGCTGAAATTACTGATTACCATATAAAGTCACTGAGTTCGAGTCCCAACACTGATATGACTGGTATAAATTCTTATGTAGTCAAGTTTGGTAWTGCAAGATATTTTGAACCAAATGTAGTGCCCTTAAACAATGAAAGCCTAATTTAACGTACCAGATATTTGTTGCCTTTACATTGTATCCTTTTGCGATTTTTTTGCGTTGGATGCAGTTAGGGCAATATTAGGTCTTGGCTACTGTTCCTAAATTTTSGTCTCTTCCATGTAAGAGAGAAAACTAATAGTAGTTTTACTAACAGGAAGTAGGAGCTACCCAAATCCTTTTATGTAATGTAGTGTAGAGTCTCACAACTATGTAGTCTTTGCTCCATCCCTTGTCCAGAAGGATACTTTGCTGGTCACCTAGCTGATTCTGAAACTGAATTGAGAAGTACATCTCTTAGGAAAAAGAAAAAGAAAAGAGAGAAAGTTTAGAAGGATTACTAGAAGATTTTCACACTGCTGGCTGAGAAGCTTGATATTTCACATGAAAATGGAATTCCACCAATGGAAAAACTTCCTGTTAACCATTGCCAATCTGCTTAATTTTTGTTTTTTGAAATCGTCATAGACACAAGTCCCGGATCTTGTTCTGATTGTTTTTGAGAAATCGGTTGGCATTTTGGTGTATTCTGTATTTGAATTTAAAGCAGTTGGTTGTCCTAGAGGTTAATGCATTTGATGCACTTTTGGTTCTTTATACCACTGTCACCTTCCTTTCTGTTTCCTTTTTTATGTTTAAATTCAATTCTAAAATTTGTTTGTATCACCACTATCCAGTCAATGAAGTTATCCTTTGATAGCTAAGTGGGAGTAATTAGTAGAAGATATTTCATGCATTGAGGAACTTGAAATTTGATTATTCTGTGAAAAAAATGCAGCTTGAGTTTCTWCTTGAGTGTTCCAAAAGACACTATGAATGGAGATTGGGTTTTGGGGAGCTTCCTCCAGTTATGCTTTTGTGACACAAAGGTGTAAATCTAAAATTGTATAGATGTTTAAACTTTAGATATAAGAACGCTCAAACATGTATATTGTATGATAGAGTAACGCAAAGGTTGCAACCTCCTACTTCTAGCAACAAGCATTTAGAATAATAACATCTGAAATTTTATGTGCAAAGTAATGTATCTCTGAAATTTACTCACGATTTGGTCTTTGGCCATTTGAACTCACATTTCTACATCTCAGCAAAAACACATGTAGGAATAACTGAGGTAGAAGCAGCGATTCGAGAAATGTTTCAAGCACCTCATATTCAAGTAAGTTAATTCAGTTTCTTAAGTCTATCAAAGCAATATTCTGCTAGAGTATGAATTTTTGGTGCATGGGTAAATAATATTGGAAAATTATGTTTAGCATTTATCTGCAATACACGTTTAATCATTGCTTCAACAAATATTTAGAGTTTTTATATGTCGGGAAGCTTCAATTTAAAAAAAATTATTAATTAATAATTTCAGTTGTTTGCCACTTGATATTCATCTTTTAGTTGTCGGCTACAGTGTTCACTTGCTCTCTCCTGTGTAGGTGATGAAGAATTGTCCTAAGCATAGTAAGATCTTCTTGACTGCTATGGTGCACGAACTTTATAAAACTGGAACGGGTGAAACTACCTTTGAAAAGGTCCATAACTCAAGTTTTCTATATTTCTTACTTTCTTCTCCTCATCTCTAGTGAATATCAATTAAAGCTCCAAAAATCTTGATCTTTAATTCACAGTAAGGCATTGAATTCAATTGGTGTACATGGGAATCTTTTATGTCATAAACTTTTTCCGTTTCAGTACATGCTTAATTGGAATGTTAGGTCGACAATGGGAGAGTTCAATGCCCACTGTCTACCAAAACTTGTTTTCTGTGAACTTTAGGACATTATCTGATTTTGAAAATGAACTTGTTATTTCGGAGAGAAAAGTTTGATATTATAAATACATTCATTGTTTTCTGTTTGTGCTACAGCTTGCCATGGCTGTCTCGTGTCTTTGTACAAGCAATGGAGAGGAATTTCCAGGATATGATGCTCTCTTGAAAGTTGGGTAAGAGATTCCATTGTACTTCATACATTATTATTATTATTATGCATTTGTTTAAAATTATCTTTGTAATAAGAAACCTAATTTTGTTGTGAGAGAGATGAAGGTGGCCTAATAAAAACCAGGACAAAATGGGCTAATAAAACTGTACAGAGGACCCCAAAAAGACTAGTTACAACAGGGTTGATGATATGGGATGGGTGGAGGCAGGACAACAATATTAAAATGACGACTAAATATTTTAGGATTAGATATTTGTCTTTTAATGTTAGTCAGGTGTGTCTTAGCGTGTCTAAAAATATTCAAAGGATATGAAAAGGGAAAAGAATATCTAATCTAGCAGAGTAGAAACTATTAGAGAATATTTTGGGTGGGTAACTTTTTTTTGATATCTGTGAGTGTCTGGACCAGTTTGCGCACACGTCGATTRATCTCAAGGGGTAGCTGGATGTGTAGTATTTATTATGAAATCATTCACTTGCATTGCTTTGGCACTCTGTATTAACTAACTGAGCGCTCCTTTCTTTCTCGTGATTTCTTAATTTTGCAGCTGTAGGCTTGGTGAATGCAGAATTATTTTATGTGAATCAGGAGCCAAACATCGATTACAAAAATTGCAACTTAATTTTCCAAGGTTGGTCTCATTACCTCTAACTTCTACATCCAGCTAAACGTAGTTGACCTTGTTGCTGTTCAAAACTCACAGTTGGATTGCTAATTACAAAGATGATTCCAACTAATAGCTCAATAATTACAATTGTGTGATTTAACTTAATTGCGTTCTGACTGTAATGCAGCGATGATGTATCATTTGCACTGAAAGGCAGCAAGGATCTACCATGGTTGGACAAGTATCTATGAATCAATTTGTAAGAAACAAGTTTGTTTGATCATATAGAATATCATTTTAATTTTGTACATATGAAACATTTAGTTCCCAAAATATTTATAAAAAGCAATTAGACCTTCTTTTTTTTGCCTTGTCATTTCTTTAGAAGTTATTTTAATTTGTTCTTATCACAGGCTTGTTTATAGAATAACTAAAGTTGATCGTCCTTCAAAAATTATGTACTTACGAACAATGATTTCTATTGTATACTAACTTCGACCATTACAAGCCACTTGATTACAACTATGAAATATTTGTTAAAAGTTATTATGCAAATAAACTGTCAAGCACCTCCCGAATGACTCTTGGTTTTTAAGAGGTCTAAGTCGAGAGGTCGATGCTATTATTGACTTACAGTTCTCTTTGTAAGCTGTAGTCTTCTTAAAAAGTTGTCATTGTTTGCTGCTGCTGCATTATGTTTCATWTTACCTGAATCCACGCCAAAGAATGAAATACTAAATGCACATCTTAACCACATACTCAAACTGGATTTATGTCACAGAACAATTCAAATTACAAGTTCCCATTTGATCCATGGGATTACCAAATTTGAAACTGCATGTATAGGAATAAGCATAAAAGGAAATAATGTACCAAAACCCATATCAATAAATAAAATAAATAGAAACTTCTGTTCAATCATTCTCGACTAAAATTAGGGAGGTTCATTTTCCCTAYGGGATGGAACAGYAGGGATCCGCTTAACGAGTGGGGATGGAGATGGGGAAGGGGATGGTTCCCCGTCCTATCTCACTTTGTATATCACTAAAAAATCTTATTATTCTCTCGAGTAAAAAAATTTATAAGTAATTAATTTCCATTGGGGAATCTCCTCCAGATCCCTTTCGTGGGATGTGGAATGAAATGGGGGGCATGGATGGCTTCCCCGTCCCTGCCCATGAACATTCCTAGCTAAAATGTTAGGGAGAGACCCAAAATTGAAGGAGTCGATTTGATGAACTCATAAATGTTTCTTAAGTTGAACATGTTGATGTACCTTGCCAATCTTTGGATTATACAAGAGTAAATCGAGTCCAATAGGGTCAGGATGATGAGTTTCTGGTTTGAAAATTACAAATACTTTTCTCAAATCTTGTTTTTCCATCTTCCACACATGGTATATTCTTTGGATTTATAGTCTTTGGTTTAAAAATCCAAGATGGAAAGAGTTAGATTAGAGGGCCTGCCAATGTTGGGGAAGAAATTTGTCAGAATTCCCCATCTTCTATATCCAAACGGCATATGACTTGGGTATAAGTGAGTGTAGGTGATGGTGACGTGCAATTCAATAGAGGCCTCCATTGAAGTAAGCATTAAGAGTCCATTCGCCAGTAGCATTGTCAAATGCAAAAATTTCCACCAAGGTACCACCAGATTTAGATTTATTATCACGTACAAAGAGTGTCTTGCTAATTTGAACAGCTTTGTTTTAGGGTTAAATCCCAATTCGCAAAAATAATGTCTTTGAATATCCGTATCAACACGAGGTAAACCGGTGAGGAGAAGGAAGAAAACTACTCCATCATCCCCTAGACACTAATGGATATCTTAAACAAATATCTACTTTTTAATATATAATGTATAATAATATTTATTTTTTCCTTAAAAATCCAAGTCATTTTGTCGTCCGTTSAAGAAATGACCGTGAAATGCGTTCCAACACATTTGTAAAATTTCTTTTTATAAATTTTTTTATTTATAAATATTATAGTCTAATTAGTTACAGTGGTTAGCCTAAGTTATTCTAATTTTAGTGGTTTTAGTTACAGTAGTTTCGTTGAATMGTTATTCTGTTACTTATTGTATTTAGCATCAATGAATAAGATTTGAAGGAATGTATTTRTGATATTCTTGTGCCTTTTCTGTGTTGGTATCAGAGCCATAGTCAAACGACTAGCTCTTTATCGTTGCAATAATGGCATCAGTCACTTCAATTGGAAATCCAGAAAATTCAAGCATGGTTCAAACAACAAAGACGATCAATCCTGGGAGCAAAAACCACAGTTGTGAAATTGGATGATGACAACTACTTAGTTATGGAAGTTTCAAGTTCTTACAGCAATTCAAGGGCATGGTTTGGAACAGTATATTGATTTAGATACAGAACCACCTTCACCATTTATTCAAAATGGTGATGGAGTTACTTCGTCGACTTCTGAACAATCGAATCTGAAGTATTTTCACTGGATTAAGCAAGACAAACTTATTTCTTCATAGTTGTTTGGATCAATGAGTGAAGAAATTTTGTCGCAAATGTTGGATTGTCGAACGATCAAAGAAATCTGGACGTTGTTATAGTGTATGTTTGCATCTCGAAAATTTGGCTCGAGTAATGCAACTCAAATCGAATCTGGAAAATATGAAGAAAAGAAGTATGAATCTCAAGGATTATTTTCTCAAAATAAAAAATCTTGTAGATTCTCTAGCTGCTGCAGGGAAGAGACTTCTGGCAGATGATCATATTATGCACATATTAGTCGGATTAGGACCTGAATTCGATTCCATAGTGTCTGCCATCTCTGCTCGAAAGTCTCCTCAGACGATTCAAGAGGTTTGTTAACTTTTACTTCAACAAGAAGGTCGGAATGAGAGAAGTCTTGTCAATTTGGATGGATTAATTCCTTCTATTAACCTTGCTCTTAGTGAATTGACCAAGAAGAATAGCCCTAATTCTTCTAATTCAAATCAAGGACAGGGGAATAACAATAACAAATTCTCCAATCGGCGATTTTGGAATGGGAATAACAAACCTCAATGTCAAATATGTGGTAAATTTGACCATACGACACTTCGCTGCTATATGAGATTTGAACGATCGTATCATGGACCAAATGTTAATAATAATGGTCAGCCCTCTTCGAATGGTTTCTCCCATGGATTTCCTCCACAAGTTCAGTCTTCCACTAGTTTTTCATCCTCATCTACACATGCTCAAAGTAATTTTAGTGTTTTTGGAGGCTTCACTCCACAAATGCAAGCCATGATGGTTGCTAATGATTTCAATCGGGATGTTACTTGGTATACGAATTCCGACGCTACAAACCACGTGACGAATGACTTTGGRAACTTCTCTCTTGGATCTGAGTATCATGGTAATGGTAAGATTCAARTAGGYAAKGGAAAAAATTTGAGCATTTCTCACACTGGTGCTGCACTCTTACAGTCTATTTCCGCTTCCAATTCTTATCAACCTGTCTTTCACTTACAAAATTTACTTCATGTTCCTCAAATAGCAAAAAATCTAATTAGTGTTAGTCAGTTTGCAAAAGATAATCATGTATTTTTTGAGTTCATCCTTCTACTTGTTTTGTGAAGGATCTCACAACTAGACAACTCCTCATTCAAGGGACGGTTCATGACGGCCTTTATCAATTTGAGCTGCGTAAAGCTTCGTCCCAGAATCCTCTTTCAGYGTCTTCCACCAATAATAATTCTCCAACTATTTTCAATTCAGTTCTTCAGTACTCTAATTCACCTATGTTACATGCTCCAATTACTTCTAATGCTTATGTACTGGATATATGACATAGGCATCTTGGCCATTCTTCTTTGCCTATTGTTCAAACTGTTATGAGATCTTGTAATATTGTTGTTCCTCGTAATAAATTGCTACTTTGTGTCATGCGTGTGCCATTGGCAAAGCTCATAATCTTCATTTTCCCACTTCTCAAACTGTATATACTTCTCCCTTTCAATGGGGTGTTGCAGATTTGTGGGGCCTGCTTATGTTTCTTCTCGAAATGGTTTTCGCTACTTTCTTAGTTTTGTTGATGCCTATTYGCGTCACACTTGGATTTATTTTCTGCACAATAAATCTGAAGCCTTTCAAGCATTCTTACTGTTTAAGTCTTTCGTTGAGAAATCGTTGAATTGTTCAATCATCCGTCTTCAAACTGATGGTGGTGGTGAGTTTCGGTCTTTTGTTCCTTTTCTCCGAACTCATGGAATTGAACACCGCCTATCGTGTCCCCATACTTCTCAACAAAATGGTCTTGTAGAGCGAAAACACCGTCAAATTGTTGATATGGGTCTCATACTTCTTTCACAAGCTTCTATTCCATTASTCTTCTGGGATGATGCRTTCTCTACAGCAGCTTACTTGATAAATCGTCTTCCAACTACTACTTTACATGGACTTTCTTTGTTTGAGAAGTTGTTTAGTAGGCCTCCTGACTRTTCTTTTCTTAAAGTATTTGGTTGCTTATGTTTTCCATCCTTGCGAGCAYATAATAATCATAAAATTCAATCTCGTTCTATACCGTGCTTGTTTCTTGGTTATAGTCTTCAACATAAAGGGTATAAATGTCTAGCTTCCACTGGCCATTTATACATTTTGAGACACGTTCTTTTTGATGAACACTGTTTTCCCTTCTCTACCTTATTTCCTTCATTAAATTCCGCTCCACAGCCATCTGTTTCTTCGTCTATTCCTGTGTTACCGTTTTCTTTGCCTCCTTCCTGTGTCGTTGTTCCCTCTGATTTACCTCATTTGCATTCTACCTCACCTACTGTTGCTTCTCCTACGACAACTTCTTCTACTTTGATAGTATCTTCTCTTTCGAATGGTCCCTCTTTTCCTTTGGCACCATCAACTATCACCTCTTCTCCCATTGATCCTGCTTTAACCCCATCCTCTCTTCTCCCATTGATCCTGCTTTAACCCCATCCTCTCTAGTGATTGTTCTACCTACTAATACTCATCCTATGGTAACTAGCTCAAAGAATGGTATTTCTAAACCCAAAGCTTTCTTTACAAATTATCTTGAGATTGAGCCTCCAACAGTMAAAGCAGCCTTACAGTGTCCTCATTGGGTTAAAGCTATGAATGAGGAGTATGATGTTCTTTTACGTAACAAAACGTGGTCTTTAGTTCCTCAACCGCAGGATAAAAAGATTGTCGGGTGAAAGTGGGTCTTCAAGATTAAAAGGAATTCCGATGGGTCAATTGCTCGCTATAAGGCCCGCCTTGTTGCTAAAGGATTTCATCAGATGACAGATATGATTATACTGAAACTTTTAGCCCCGTGGTTAAACCTACTACCATTCGAGTTTTGCTAACACTTTCTCTTGCTCATGGATG